ATCGGGCCGTGGCTGCTCTGTGGTCCCCAGTCCTTCCTCAGAGGTCTCAGGCCACATGCCCTCTGCCCACGGGGCCCTGCAGCCTGTCCCCCCAGCCCTCTCAGTCAGGCCCGTCACGGTGAGGCCCCACGACACACAGGATCGCAGGTGCCCTCATCACCAAGCTGTGCCCTTGTGGGCAGGTCTGGGTGAGGCAGTGGCCCAACCGCAGGCTCCTGTCACCAGGTGGGGCAGGACAGCCCTGCTCTGTGCACCCACCCCTGCACAGACTGCACATCGGCCACGGGAAGACCCCAGGCACCCACCATGCTGAGCAGCCCGGCCCCTCGCTGCTCTCTCACCCTCGGTCTCCTCTGGGCCTGGTGGGCTGGTGCAGCCCAGCCTGGGGCAGGGGTGCAGGCTTTAGGCCCTGCAGTCCGGGTGGCCGTGCCAGTGGCTCCGTGGCCAGGGCCAGGCCGAGCAGGCTCACGTAGGCCTGGGCCCACCGGGCCCACCCGCCCAGTCCAGGGCTGCAGACAAGGCGAGGCCACAGACATGGCAGAAGCCAGGCCCTGCCGTGGGGCCGCCCGGGGTGAGACTGTCTCTGCTTCATCTCCAGGGCGGCCCCGGCAGAGACGCTCTCTGTGGAGAACGACAGCGGCAGCAGCGGCCTGGAAGACGCTACCGCTAACGTGAGTGTGCACAGGCCCTGGCCCTCCCCCCAGGGATGCTAGCCCCATAGCTCCTCACCCACCAGGCGGACTGCTGGCACGAGGGGGCCTCCCCTGAGCAACTCAAACCACCCACAGCCAGGTCTGGGCAGTCTGGTCTGACCTCGGACTTCTCTTGCAGTGACCCTGGCCTGCCGGGCACCGCTGCCATGGGGGCCCTGGGGCCGGCCCCGTGACAGCTGCGGGCTGGAGGGCCCTGGAACTAGGAGCCATGGTGCCGGCTGTCCCGTCCTGTCCACATGCTGCGGGACACTAAGGCTGGCCCTGCGCGGGCCAGGCGGGTGACCTGGTGCCTGGGCCGTTCTGGAAGGACCGCAGGTGGGGTGGCCTGGCCTGGCTTCTCGCGTGACGTCCCTGCACTGTGTGATGTGTTTTATTGTAAATTTCTTTAAGATTAAAAGTTGATACGCCTTACCCTTCACTTGTCCGCCTCCTTGTACTAACTCCTGTAAGCGGGAGGCCACCTAGAGCTGGGCGGGCAGCCCGGGCACCAGGCCTCCCCTGCTCTCTGGTGGTGCTGGTTCGTCCCCACCTCCAAGGCTCGGAGTCCTCCCACTCTGCAGCCGCCCTCCAAGGACTCGACCTCCCGAAATGGAGTCACTCCTTTCCAGCTGCTAGGGAAGGCTTCTGGCCTGGTGGCTCTGCTGTCCCCTCCTGGGCAGCACGACACTTGGGTCCAGGTGGCCCTATAAGCCCTGCCTGGGTCCCCTCTTCCCAGCCAGGAGCAGGAAGCAGCTTGCCCAGCGGTGCCCCCTTCACGGGCAGCCCTGAGCGGAGGGGCCTGGGGGAGGTCCCAGCCCAGTAGGGCTGCTGTGGCCAGGAGCTTCCAGCCCACAGGAGCCCCTCTCCTGGGAGGGAACCGAGGGGCCTGCCTCACTGTGGACCGAAGTTCAGATGTGAAGGGGGACACTTGGGACCCACATTCACACTCAGTCCCACAACCTGCTTGGCCCACCTCGGTCAGGGGCTGAGCCTTCCAGGCCCTTCTGTGCTTTTGTGCGCATTGTTCCAGGAGGAACCTGCTGCCGGCTTAGCTGGAACCCACCCCCCAGTCACCCCCATATCCGGGGCCCCTCAGCCTGCCCCCCATGGCGAGTCTGACACCA